TCAGGTTTAGCATTACCATTCATCACCAGTAAATAGGGTTGGGCAATATTTTGATATTATCAATGAAAGACGATGATTTTATGTACTCAAGATCATCATATTGAAAGTAAAAGCACAGTCGTGATGGAAACCAAAATTTCATATGGTGTGTAGGTAACAATTGCAAGTGGAATTAATAGTTGAAACAACCTATTTTCCCTCATGCATATATAACTTGATGTGGTACGAGGGTAGCTAAATTAACAATAACGAGGAGCCAAGTATTTCAATTTCTTTTGAAAACAAAGTTGTCTATGAGGTCATAAAGACCCAATACTTTATTATTTTGTTTGATAATTGCCAAGGATTTCACACAGAATCCTCTCCCCCGATACCCCCAAGTGAATCCATCCCACTACTACACAAAATAATACTTCTTTCCCTATGAGTTAAAAACGAAAGCATATTTTTTACAGATCTCTGCAATATTATGTTTACAAGTTCCTTGAAGATATGATTATAATAAATGGTGACAGATGTCTGTACATTGTAGAGTATTTTGTACATATTTTGTACTTACTGAGGCAAATAAAAATAATAGTTGGTTTCAGGTTTCACAGCCATGTTCTATATGGGTAGGTAGGTCGGAAAAGCATTTTATTAAAAAAAATATTTATCTCAAGTATGCAATAAATATAAGTTGTTTATGAGTAACTGTCACGCATAATCAGACGTGCCACACGGGATCACCCGCGAGCTACACGTGGTTTTCGAGAAACAAACGCATCAAGGATTAACATGACTAGATAATGATTAAATTATGAGCAAACAAAATAATTTGTAGCAAATGGTGTAATATATCGAGATAAAAGTGTGCTTTAATCTATTACTCGTTTACTTAAATACACAATGATTAATTTACATAACTATAGCCTATAGAATATTACAGAATAATTTGAATATACTACAACCCCCTTCAAAAAAAAACTAACATTTTTTTTCCTTTTTTCTTATTTGAATGTACTATAAATGTAATAAGTTTCCTAAATATAGTGTTCTTAATCGTCATAGTGTTCCTACATAGTGTTCCATATTTTCCTACATTGTTCTAAAATGTCTCTATTAATACCTATTTGGTTGTTTAACCAATCGTCCCGAACGTGTACGATAACCCTCTGCATCATCATCATTGCTTGCTTGCTGGTGTTATGGGCTTCTTGACTGCTGTTTATGTTCCGTAATTTTGGGTTGCTTCGACTGTACGTTCCTCCCCAAATCTGTGTGTAGAATAGACTAATCATGCGACGCGTCTGTATGCAAATCTCAAACGGCGATATACAGCCCCTTCTGGAGTCTCGACTAAGTAACTTCGAGGCGTATCTGCTATTTCGATCACTTTCCCGGGTCTCCATTCACATTCCTGCTTGACACGTACTGCTTCACCAGTCTTTAATGGTTGTAAAGGCACGGCTGACTTGTCATAATTGGATTTCTGCTCAGCCTGCTTTTTCTGGAACATGCTTTGTGTTTCGTGATAACAAACTGTTTGAGGAATTAAGTGATTCGTTGTGCATGGTAGAAGTGAACGCAGACATCTTCCCATGGATAGTTGTGCAGGTGATTTGTAGCTAGCCACGGGTGTATTGCGTTGTTCTAACAAAGCGAGGTATGGATCTCTTCGATCACGTTTGGCTTTTTCTAACATTCTTTTGGCGGTTTGCACGGTCTTTTCTGCGAGCCCGTTTGACTGTGGATACTTCGGACTTGATGTCACGTGGGAGAATTTCCAATTCGCTGCAAACGTATCGAACACAGCAGAACTGTATTGTGGACCATTGTCCGATTTCACTGTCTCCGGTATTCCGTGTCTCGCAAAGATTTCTCTTAACTTGTTAATAACTGCTGTACTCGTTGTGCTGTGTAGTACTGCAATCTCCCAATAACGTCTGTAGTAATCAACAACTAGAACATAACTGCTACCATTCCACTCAAACAAATCGCTAGCAACGATTTGCCAAGGATACTGTCGGATTTCGTGGGGAATCATTGGCTCTTTGGGATTGCTTAGCCTGAGCTGTTGGCACGTCGTACAGTTGGACACGACATCTTCGATCTGCTTAGACATACCGGGCCAGAATACCAATTTCCGAGCTCGGAGCTTACTTCTCTCCATTCCGAGATGTCCTTCGTGAATCTGTGCCAAAATACTTTTTCGCAATGTCGTGGAACAACGATAGATTCGCCCTTGAAAATCAGACCATCAACCGCTATCAATTCGTCTCTATATGCCCAAAACTCGCTGACGTCTTTTGACACTCCATTTTTGTGGTTGGGCCAACCTTCTTGAATTATTCTTGTCAATTTGACCATAATGCTGTCATTAGCTGTTTCCTGACGCAACTCTGCCAATTTCTTGTCACTCACTGGTAGGTTTGCTATCGCCGCGTGCACACATAGAACAAGATCTTCGTCGTCGTCGTCGTCGTCGTCGTCGTCGTCAGAAGTAGGAAGGTGAGCCCTCGAGAGTGTATCTGCAGAATACAGCTCT